AAAAAAAAAAAAAAGAACCCACAGCATCCCCACCAGGGGATGCTGCTGTCACCCCATTTCCTGGGCAAGCAGCTCTGAGAAGATCCCGCCTACTGGGGCCTGAATCATGCCTGCTTCTCTTAGGCCAAGCTCTCCAGCTGCCCACCTGGGCTTGGTTTCCTGTCCTGGGGAATGGGCTGCATGATGTGAGAGAGGAGAGGGCGCATGGAGGGCAGGTTGGGGACACCTACCAGGGCACAAAGGATGTCCTAGGCATGCCCACCACCCACTTCCCAAGTGTGCCAGGTGGGGATGGAGGGTGACATTTCCAAAGGCTCATCTGCCTTTCTTTCTCCAGAGTGAGTTCCCGTGGGGCAGCAGTGTGGGGGAAGATGGCGCAGTCCACTGCCACCTCCCCTGACGAGGGAGCCACATTCGAGCACCTCTGGAGCTCTTTGTGAGTATCTCCACTGGCCAGAGATGAGGGGACTGCCTGGGCTGGACTCTGGGCTAGCTTCATCCACCCACAACAGGCTTATGGAGTCTTGAGCTAGCCTTGGCCATGCTCAGCTGTGGGGCAGGGCCAGGGCTGGGATGTAAGTAAGGAGGACCACTGTCTTGGGCCTTCTCCTGGGGATACAGAACCTAGAATCTGAACTCTTTCCCTTGACCAGCTCTCAAGAGGGCTTGTGGCCAGGAGAGCTCCACAGGACAGAGCACACATGTGGCTGCACCTCCCTGGCACTCACACTGGCCCTGGAGAGACAGGCAGAGGACAGGGAAAGGCGGGAGGGGGTGAGAGCTGAGGACCAGGGGACAGTTGGCCTGACCAGGAGCATAGGCTGGCCTTGAACTCTGGGTGAGGAGGGCTGCAGGTGCTGCCCAGGTGGGGGCTAATGGCTGCGGTTTCCCTCTCAACCCTGCCCAGGGAACCAGACAGCACCTACTTTGACCTTCCCCAGTCAAGCCGGGGCAACAACCAACTGGTGGGCAGTGCGGAGACCAGCATGGACGTCTTTCACTTGCAGGGCATGACCACTTCTGTCATGGTGAGTAGGGGCAGGAAACGTGGCCTGGCCTGTCTTGGGAGACGACAGAATCAGGAAGCGAGTGTATGGCTTCCCTGTGGGTTTGTCGGGACACTTCAAATTGCAAAATAGAAAACCTATCAGCTCATGTATCTGTCAGTTCCAATGTAGGAATGGGTTCAAGCATGGTTGGATCTAGGATTAGGAAGAACTGCAGGCATGGCTCAGTCTGGGTGAAGGAAGGGCCGCAGGCACGGCTGGGTCTGGGTGAAGGAAGGGCCGCAGGCACGGCTGGGTCTGGGTGAGGGAAGGGCCGCAGGCACGGCTGGGTCTAAGTGAAGGAAGGGCGGGGCACGGCTGGGTCTGGGTGAGGGAAGGGCCGCAGGCACGGCTGGGTCTGGGTGAGGGAAGGGCCGCAGGCACGGCTGGGTCTGGGTGAGGGAAGGGCCGCAGGCACGGCTGGGTCTAAGTGAAGGAAGGGCGGGGCACAGCTGGGTCTGGGTGAGGGAAGGGCCGCAGGCACGGCTGGGTCTGGGTGCTCTGCAGCTTTCTTGCTCCATCTTTTGCTCTGCTTCACCTGGGTGGCTTTGAGCATAGGTAAGCTGTCAGCATCACCACCCCTGTGGAGGGGGGCCCTCACTTCCCGTCGCTCAGCAGGCCTGCCCCTTGTCAATCTGAACGGGTCATGTGCCTGACCCTAAGGCAGCACCATGCCCCTGAGTGGCCTGAGTGGCGCATTCCTGTCCCCTGGAGCAGGCTGGGATGGGATGAAGTGCAGTGGGCCCCCCACAGGGCTGTGGTATCAGGAAGGGTCCAGTCAGGGGGCTGGAGCTGTGAGGTCCCTGAGCCCCATCTTGGTGAACCCTCACTCCCTCCTGGGGCGAGGGCCACCACTGTCACACTGGGGGCCCCTCCTAGCACAAAGGCAGGGCCACGGTAGCTGGTGGGGGCCATGTCTGGTTGTGCCAGGAGATTTATGGCAAGTGGCAGCGCACACAGGAAGGGGATAAGGACCCCCCAGGGGCCATTCCCAACTGGGCCACCTAGCTGCTCCGTTCTGCCCATAGGCTGGTTACCCAGGGCCTAGGGGTTCCTCAGGTGGGGACTTGTCCAAGGAACTTGGCTATGCCAAACGGAAAAACCCACACTGAGCAGATATTTCAGAAAGGGCGTGTGTGGAGCAGGGTTGAGCATCCCTCTGAGTGCCAGCACCAGGCAGGCTCTGAGGCCAGAGGGGCCTGGTCCTCCTCTTTCCTCTGCCCCACCCCCAATCACCACACACACACCTGTCCGAGGTGTGCAGGGGTGGCCCAGACACCTGGGGCTCAGGCATAGGGCTTCAGTCAGGAGAAAGGGCAGAGCAAAGAGGCGGGGAGGGTGAGGGGCTCTGCCATGGGGGCCAAGTTGGTGCTGAGCCTGTGGGGTTGGAGCAGGCCCGCCTGGACAGCCCCAGGGGTGGGAATATGGTACAGCCCCGGGATGTCTGTTGCTCTGAGGAGCCCCTCGGGTGGGATCTGAAGCTCTGCCTGCTTGCCCTGGCCGCCCGACTCGGCCATCCTGGTGGAAATAGCTTGCCAGTACCAGCACCTGCCATGTTCCCATATTACCACGGAGGAACCGGGGCAGAAATGTTGGGCCTGGGATGGGAGGACCCCGGGGCAGGGGTTTGCATGGTGTCTGCCTCCTAAGTTTCCAAGCCTCTCCCGACTCCTGGAAAAAGGGTCCCTAACTCCCAAAGACATGCCATAGGGGGGCATGAGGAAGACATAGGGGGCATTTCTAAGCTCTTGCAGGTGGCCTGTGCCACACCCCTGCCCCCAGGGATGGCACTCGGAGCTCCTTCCTGCTGGGGCATGCTGCTCCCTAGCCATGGGGTGGTGAGGCTGGGGCCTTGCGTCTCTGCGCATAGCCAGACGGCCAAATCAGACGGGCAGCAACATGCCTTGTGGTGAAGCCAAGTGTGGCATTCCGGGGTGCACAGCTTAGAGCATGGTGGTGGGGATTCCCTGGAGCATAGAGGCTAACTCTTATGTCTCCCAGACTCTGGGTGACACTGAGTTCAGGATGGGGACCTGGACAGGAGGGGCAGGCCCTTAGTCCTCAAGAAGCAAATGGCAAAACAAGGGAAGTTCTGAAGTTGGGGGAGGTGTCAAAGTTTCACCCTCTTTTCCCTGGCCCGGGCTGACACCCCCTTGCCCCATCCTAGGTCCAGCCTCTCTCCCCTCTACAAGTCTTATCCCGACCTGGTGCCTGGCCCCCTGGAGGCCATTGGTCCAACAGTGTGCTGTCCCTGCTTCAGTCCCCACGGCAGTGCTAGGTGCCAAGACCATGGTTCAGGAAACAGTGAAGATTGGCCAGGCAGGGCAGCCTGGCTGCAGGGCACCTGGGAGCCCGAGGAGGTAGCTGGGGGGGGGGGACCTGGACCTGGTTTGGAGGAGATGTTGGGCAGTGGCTCATACCTGCAGTCCCAGCACTCTGGAAGGCCAAGGTGTGAGGACGCTTGAGCCCCAGTGAGGCTCCGGGCTCCGGTGGCCCTGGAGCTCGTGGCTCAGGAAGAGGCCTGTTTACACAGGTGCCACATGCTCCTGTCCCCACCTGCCCCATGGGGCTCACTTTGGCTGTGTAGCCGTTCATGCTGATGGGCATCTGGCTGCCCCCACCGGGCTGTGGGGCTCCAGTTAGGCAGCATAGGCCTTGAGTGGACAGGATGTTGGTCCTCTGCAGTGATGGACACCCTCCGTGAGTGGGAGACTTGGGTCTCCCCCACCTAGAATGGTAGATTGGCTCCTATCGGGGACTGGCGCGGGGTCCTGAGCAGGGCTGGTGGCCACAGGCAGAAGGCTGACCATCACGCGCCTCGCACAATGCCTGAAACCCTGCCCCAATGACCAGTAGAAGGCAAGCAGAGTGGCACCAGTCCCTAGGCCTCTGTATCCTTACTCTGAATCTGGGCTGACTGGGGGTGGGGCAGGGGCAGGAGCCCTATAGGAGTAGCAGCTTCTTACCCGCCCCCCTCCATCACACCCAGTGTGTCATGTGCTCCCATGGGCCTGGGATTGCAGACAACTTAGATACATTCAGTGCCAGATGAGGAAACTGAGGCCCAGATGGTTAAATGACTGCCCAACTATGAAGGGCAGGGGTGGGTTCTGACCCCAGAAAATCTGGCCCCAGATGCCTCAGCCCCACCCCTCACCCAGCCTCCTGGTCTCTGGGCCACCTCAGCTACCTGCCTGCAGCTGGGTCGTGGGCTTGCAACCTTGGGGACAGGAATTCTTACTCTCCGCCAGTGCTAGGTCTGGGCTTTGGGCGGTACCCTACACACACACCGGGTGTCAGCATCGCTTGGACAAAGACAGGACAGGGCACTGGCAGCTGAGGCATCTTAGGGTGCAGAAAAGGGAGGATGGAACTAGAGCAGGGCAGAGAGAGAGGCAGGGGTCCCCTCTGCCCTCCTCCACCCTTCACTCTCCCTAAAGCCTCCCCCGACTTCCCGCTTCTCCTGGCGCCTTTCTCTGGTGACAGCTGCTGTGGGCAGGTGGGCCACCAGAGGGTAGAGCCACAACAGGCGGGGACAGATAGCTGGCCCTGCCCAGAGCCCCAGGGAGCCGAGTAGCAGGACAGATGCCTGGGGACTAGAACCTCTGACGCTTAAGGGCTTGAGCCACAGAGGGCAGCAGGAGAGGCCTTCCTGACTTTGTTGCTCCCCAGACCCAGGAGAAGAAAGAGTGGTGGGCTTCGAGAGCCCCCGCCTCCCAGCACCCCTGGTGAGGCCTCACCTACCCTTCCTTGGACACGCCTCGGTGACCAGACACTTTGGTATGACACAGATCTGAACTGCAGTCAGCCCCGGGTCCCAGGGCCCCTCTGAGCATTTGTGGCCTCCTCCAAGGGGTGGCAAATAGCCAGCTGCCCTATGGGGACTGTGCATGAATTTGGCTGTGACCTGATATATTTCCGGTACCCAGGCAATGTGTTCCCCTGTCCCTCTGAGCATGTGGTGCTGGGCAATGCATGGCCACGGAGACACTGATGCCCACCTGGTCACTGCTACCTCCAGCAGGTGCTGAGGGCCCCTTAAGACCACCTGGAGGTGGCTACTGATGGTCACAATGGGAAGAGAACAGCTCCCAGCCCCATCCCTGTCCTCCCAATGGCCAGGACCTTGGGGAAGTACATGGGAAGTTGGTGGCACTAGGGCAGAGCCTGGTGGCTTTCCAGGCTTTACCATTGGAAGCATGCAGCTGAGCCTCACTGGGGCCCACAGCTGGGTCGGGGTGGGGAGCAATGCCGGTGCCCTGGCCTGACCCTGCACGTCCTCTGCCTCATCTCCTCTCTGAGCGTGGACGCAGCTCTCCAACCAAAGCTGTTCTGGGAGTCCTTCCCACCTCGAGTCCTCTTCCCTTTGCTATTTCCTTTTGGCAATTTATAAAAGCAGCGTGATTAAGAAGACAGACGTACATTTTAAGTAGAAAACGTATGTATCCTCATAATATCCAAAATTTAAAAAATAATAGTAAAATTTTAAAAAGAAGAAGATGGCTGGACTTCCTAGGCCGGCCCCTCCATGGGACACCCCTGGGTCTCTTCTTTATTCCTTCTCATTTTTTTTTTTTTTTGAGACAGAATCTCACTATGTGGCCCTCAGTAGAGTGCTGGGGTGTCACAGCTCACAGCAACCTCAAACTCCTGGGCTTAAGTGACTCTCTTCCTCAGCCTCCCAAGTAGCTGGGACTGCAGGCACCCGCCACAATGCCCAGCTATGGTCAATCTCTCTTGACAAGCAATGACCCTGGGCTGGCTGCAGGGAGGCTGGGATTTGCTCATTGTCACACATTGCCCTGTGGAGAGGGGAGTAGAACCCAGGCTCCCACCAGCTGGCTCTGAGTGTCCCTCCACGCCTGGGGACCCCACCTCCCAGATTCTGAAAGCAGAAGGAACCCCCACCCCCCAGAGCATCTTTGCAGCAAGGCCCCATGATAGTGCAGGGATACATGGTTAGGCCCCGGGGCCTTCTGATC